GTCCTCCGCTCCCACCAGCCCGCCCGCCGGGCTGGGCGTCCCTGGCTCCGGCCCCCAGTGTCTCTTTGTTCATTTCTGTGACACCTCCTGTGGACACGACTGCGCCTGAGCTCTCGCAGACCCCTCACCTCTCCTTCTGAGTGACTTCAAAGAGTTCCTCTTTCTTGGAAACGGCTTTGCCAGGCCCCCAGGATCCTCGCTGAGGGGTTGAGTCCGTGAGAAGCGAACAAAGCACCGGGGATTGGGGGGCGGGGCCGACTTGGAAGATGAACTTCATCCCAAACTCGCGCTTTCCCTTGCTTTGGTCTTTAAGGCTATCAAATAAAGAAAATGCCTTGGAAAGGATGTGCTCCACCGGATTCCCCTTAGGGCCCAGGTTCCCGCTGCCCAGCTCTGCAGGTGCCACGGCCCAGGGAGGGGAGACGGTGCCTTCTGTCTAACATAAACGAATAACATCGCTCCCTACCCCCATCCCAAACGAACATACCTCTAACTTAAAAAGCGCCCGTACTTTAGACACAAACGTGGGCTCTAGACAAGACTCCAAATCCTGCAGCACACAGCGCCCACACACATAAGAGCCCCACCCTCTCACACACTCAAAGTCTTCCCATCCAAGGTGGCTTTTTTACAGAAGAGGAGATGGGTGGATGGCATCACCGACTCAAAGGACATGAGTTTGAGCAAACTCCGGGAGATGGTAAAGGACAGAGAAGCCTGGGATGCTGCAGTCCATGGGAGTCGCAAAGAGTCAAACACTACTGAGCAAGCAAATGAACAACAATAAAAATTCTGGTCCCACCACTGAGCTGAGCGGTCCGATTTTGAAGGTTCTCCTAGTCTTCAGGTGTGGGGCTGTCTTTGGGCTCTGAGTTTTGGTGTATTTAAGATGGAAGGGATGGTAGTGGGTAGGCAACTCGTTTGCCTTCCTCAGTTGACTGCATTTTATTTAAAAACTCAGGTTAAGCTCTTCTGTGGATGTGATGCCCTCAGAGTCTGCGCAGCCTGGAACAGGAGAGGGAAGAAGGTGCAGTGGTTTCCTGGACGACCGAGTTGGCTGGAAGGGTTATATCTCTTTTGCCAGAGTCCCCAGCTCCTGCACTCCAGCTCCTGCCCTGGGCCGGGGGTCTTGGGGAAAGTATTCAAGGAGGGAGTGAGAGCACATGTGTAGCTGGCTAACAGCGTGTATTGCGGTGCCCTCCAATGGGTGGTAAGGTTCTCTCCAACCCAAGCAGCTGGCACTGAAAGGTCCCCAGTGATGATGCCAACAACCTCTTCTTTTTACAAAGGGCCCCCTTGCAAGGGGAAGCCTCCCACTGATGCAGGGCTGAGCTCCAAGGCCAAGTGCACTCAGGCCTTGCTCCTTAACCTGAGTTGCTGCCTATGTCTCCATGGAGATTGGGACCCGGAAGGAGGAGCCACCTTTGGGGTGTGGACCGACAGCGGGGCTGTGTTTGGGGTATGGGCTGGGCCTGATCCAGGCACCCAGAAGAGACCAGCCCTTGCAGGGCACTGTCAGGGAGGAGATGGAGGGGCTTCTCTAACCCAAGGTGTCCCGGCCCCCTCCGCCGCTACTCACCTGTCCACCCACAACCAGGAGGCCTTAGGAGGACAAAAGCAGCTCTGCTTCTTTGCCAGTCCTCTTCAGTGGAAGCTTCCAGAGTGGCCCCACAGACCAGAGCCCTGGCAGCCTGGCCTGTTGCTGGAGAGAGAGGCAATTGGACCCCTCCCTAAAGTCCACACCACCCGCCTTTTGAAGGGGACTAGAGCAGAGAGCAGCAAACGCGCGATGAAAGGTTGCAATGTTTTTGTTTTCCTTTCTTCTTTTGAATTCTTCATTCTCTCTCCTTTCCCTTCGCTCTTTCCATCTCTTCTTTGTCCTCTGACAGTTAAGGGAGGACTCCAGGGAAAATCCACACCAGACACTCTTCTTTGGCAAGAAATAGGTCAACCAAGGAAACCAACCCTAGCCGGCGGCCCTAGGAGCGTGAGTCTCTTCCCTTCTTCGAGGGAGGGCCTTCGAAATCTCTTCCCTGGCGCTGGCCCGCCTCCCTTCCCCATCCGGTGGCTGCCTCCTTTGTGAACTAATGACTGTAATTATTACCTCCCGGAGCTCTTTTGTTATCTCCAACCCAAGCCCAAATGAGGGGTGGGGGGAGCGGGCTCTTTTTTGAAATGAAAGTCTTTATAAAGCAAATTGCCTGTCTAAGGAGGGCGGGCATTAAGGAAAGACAAATCAGATACTGTGTGCATCTGAAGTGGGTGTGTTAGATAAAAAAATGTAAATATCACCATTAGATTCAAAACACTCTGGAGTTTCTGATTTAATGCAGTTTATCTAAAGAGAAGAAGTTTAAGTCATTGCTTTTTTTAAAAAAATCTATTAAATTCGGTGTTGTGATTTCTACCTTTCTTGTATTTTAATCCGTTCCCTTCTTCGAGGCTTTGTGTGCATTTAAAACATTTATTTTAAAGAATATTTTTGTTTTCGACCATTCATCCATTGTAGAAAAATTCTGCAACTCCACCCTGCTGACTCGAAGTGAAACGTGCAGGATTTGGAGTGGATTTAAGCAAAGAATGGGTCTCGTCTCCAGCTTCTCTCTTCGCTGAGGAGCAGGAGCTGCAGAGCCACCTGCCAGCGGCGCCAATGGCCAACCCACGAAGTCTTTACCCCTGGAGTTGTCACGTGGATCCATTGGCGCTGGGAGCTGGGAGCTTGGGAAAGAGGGTGGATGCCGGCCTGTGTTCCTGTCAACCTGGTGGCCACAACCTGGCGCAGGCTTCTCGGCACAGCAGGCTCTGAGCTGAGCAAAAGCCCAACCGGCCAGCACCCCCGCACCCACTCCCAGGCTCAGATCTGGTCGCCACGGTGCCGATCCTGTGGCTCCTCCAGGCTCATGGGAAGAAGACAAAGCTTTGTGAAGAGAACTGACCAGGCCACCGCGTGCCTTGCGGCACAGGATTTAGGCTTGCACTTGGCCACCCTGGGTCCTGTGACATCCTTCCTAAGCCAGGGCCAAGGGATGGTAGTCTAAGGATCCACTGGTCTCTGCTTTAGCAGCGGTTTTGGTAACTTGGTTCAGCGATCAGAGAAAGAATGGCCTGTGCATACAGTGGAAATGAAAAGCACCTGCCCCAGGGGATCAGCACGCAGGGGAGTGCAGCGTTGGGAGGCTGGATGCAGCGGGTCATCCTCATCCTCTCTCCCCGCTCCTGGGAGCTGCAGGGTGTACTTGACACTGATTTCTGCTGCCAAGGGAATGCAGAGCGAAATCAACAGGCCTTACATTCTCAAGGCACCGCCCCCCCCCAACCTTTGTTTAATAGCTTGTTGAGAAAGGAAAATGTAAGAGCGGAGAGATTATGATCTCGTCCACACGTGCCAAGTTGCTTCAGTCGTGTCTGACTCTTTGAAACCCTATGGACTGTAGCCCACCAGGCTCCTCTGTCTATGGGATTCTCCAGGCAAGAGTAATGGAGTGGATTGCCCTGCCCTCCTCCAGCGGATCTCCTGGACCCGGGGATCGAAGCCACGACTCCTGTGTCTCCTGCATTCAGGCAGATTCTTTCCCGGGAAAAGAGAAACCCCTTCCACCAAGTACCAGAAATTGTGACTCCCCCGTCTGGCCCCGCCCCACCTCACGCCATCGCGATAATTCCCTTAGGGGAAGAGGTGGTCATTGATTTTGAGGCTCGATAAAACCAGGACCCAGGGAGGTCGTGCTTTCTTTCCGCTTTTGGAAGGCTCAAATTTATTGGAAACCCTGTGCAGGCTTCTCACGCACACAACGATTCCCCTGACGTGTAAGCAGCGGCCCTTCCACTCCTTCGCCGGTCAAGGTCACCGAATGACCCGACCGCATCCCCCATCAGCCATCAGCCGTCAATCCTGCTGGCTCTAGTTGTTCTTCCTTGCCTCCTTCCAAGAAGTTTCCATTCGTATTATTTCTCTGCCCAGCCTGAGGTTCTTGGTGATAGATTCCAGCATGAATTTTAATTGCCTCAATCAGCAGTCTTTCTCCCAAGCCGTCAGTCAGAACTTGAACAGTGGGCTCGGCGACCAAGCGCTCTGAAGCGCAGGAATGGTTCCCAGCCCCCACCTTTGGGAGACTATGCGGCTCAGTGGGCAAGAGATAGGCTCTACTAAGGAGCTGGACTAAGCCCATCGGTGCCTAGGTGCCCTTCCCCCACAGTCCCCTTCCCAGGCTTGCGAACCGCTCCAGATTCCCCCAGCCGCTGGGACTCCGGGTGGGGGGTGGGGGTGGGGGGAATCACAGCGACCTCAGCTCTCTCTCGCAGGAAGGTGGCGCGGGCATAGCGCCTCCTTCTCCGCAGCCGGAACCAGCCCTCAAACAATACACCAATCGTTGCAAATAAAAGACTGTCTCCGCCACCTTTCCCGCCTCGCCAAGGTCTCTGTGGTCTACCCGCGCTGATGCCGGCGCGCAGTCCGCCGCGTTAGCACTCTGGACAGCGCCCCTGGGGTCGCCAGCATCCCCTAGCCGCACGCTGCCCAGGGGTCGCCGGCTCACCTCCCACCCGCTCTCGCTGACTCGTGCTCGGGCGCACTGTCTCCCTCGCACTCTCACGATTCAGCTCCCTCCCTCCCGTTTTTCCCTCCGCTGCCCCCTCGTCTATCCCGGCTGGGCTCCCTCTCCTTCAAAATCGCTCGAGCTCTCGGGCGCTTTCCCATCTCCCGGCGGTGAGGGCCCTTCAATCCTCTCCTCTATTCACCCCGCGAAGCTTTCAGAGCTTTGCCACTTCTCTAAACTCTAATCCCAACACACACGCGTGCACACGGACACGCACGTTTCCTGCCCCCGTGTGACACCCACCCTCTGTCGTGCGGCCGCGCCAGACCCCGCGCGGTGTTCCTCCTACCGCCACACACACAAACACACACACAAACGCACGCACGCGCGCGCGCAGGGCGGAGCGGAGGGCAGCTCGCCGGCAGTTTGCACTCGGAGGCGTCTTGCTCCAATATCGCAGCGCTGATGGCATCTCCCGGCTCCGGCTTTTGGTCCTTCGGATCTGAAGATGGCTCGGGGGATCCCGAGAACCCCGGCACAGGTAGGAGAAACGGGACCTGCAGGTGGAGAGCTTTGCGGGCGGACTGGGATTTGCGGGGCTGGGGAAGATTGAAGGAGGCTTTCCAACCTGCAACAGGAAACTTCGGACGCTTAGCCCTGCCCTCGGGGTGGGTCCTTGATGACCCAACAGACTAAACCCCACAGGCTCTTATGCCCCTGGGAAGATGCCCAGGGACCCTCTGGTCCTTTCCGCTGAAATCTGGGAGAACCTCTAAACACGGCGGTGTCTCCTCGATACCGAATTCCTGGGCCTGGGAGTCTGCCACCGTCTTAGTGTTTGGAGAGAGAGAGGTGGTGGGGAAAAGGAAAATTGGAAAGGGGAGAGAATTGTTGATCTGAAAGGAGAGACTGCGAGGAAATGGACGGCCTCGGGTGTCGAGGAAAACTCGCCCAAGCGAGGCAGGAAGGAGACTTTGCCCTAACCGAGTGGTGCCTGAAAGGCAAGTGCAAAGGGCCACAGTGTGGGCCGCTTCTGAGGAAACAGCCAAGGGTCGGGCCGGGTCGCCAGGCTCCCGCCACCTCTGGCACCTGCTCGCTGTGCCGGCGCCAGGAAGGCAGCCCTTCCCGGAGCCCGGGTTTATTGAGGTCGTTCACAAAGAACGAAGTTTCACACGTGTGTCTGCCGTTTTCTTTCTGCCTCGCTGTCCTCCCACCTGTCTTTCCTTGCAGCCAGGGCCTGGTGTCAGGTGGCCCAGAAGTTCACCGGCGGCATCGGAAACAAACTGTGTGGTGAGTGCCTGCGCGGGCGCCCGGGGGAGGGAGGCGGACATGGTCAGGCACCGCGGAGCCCGAGGAGGTCAAAGCCACCCTCACACCTCAGCATCCCGTCAGGGGTCGGATATTCTTGATTTAGGGACCGGGGATGGGGGGCGGGGGCTGGGAGCCGGTCGGCGGGCGGCTGACCGAGGTCCGCGCTCCTTGTCCTTGCCCAGCCCTGCTCTATGGAGACGCCGAGAAGCCGGCGGAGAGCGGCGGGAGCCAGCCCCCGCGGGGCACCTCCCGCAAGGCCGCCTGCGCCTGCAACCAGAAGCCCTGCAGCTGCCCCAAAGCGGAGGTCAACTATGCATTTCTACACGCAACAGGTAAGGGCGCCTCGCGGGATCCTGGGAGCTTCTGCCCCTCGCCCTGTCTCGTCCACCGTGGCTAGGAGTGACCCGGCGCCGGGACGTCGAGGTGGAGGGCAGGAGTAGACCTTAGGAGAATCTCCAGCAGACCTCGAGAAACGCTGGGCCTGCCCCCTCGGTCGGACCCGGACCCGGGCCTCTGCTTGGCTTTGGGCTCCGGGGTTCCAGGCGGGCCCCGGGGCCGCGGCGCTCTGCGCCCAGAGCCGCCCTCGGGTCTCCGGGTGGCCGAGGCGCCCCGGCGTACCCTAGCTTCAGGTCCTATTCTCCGTGCCACCGAGGCATACGGTGTGATGTAGTTTCTTGTTCAAAATAGGTTAGACTTTGTATGTCTTCAGATCGCAAGAGTAATTTGTAGCTGTGATTTCAGGAGAAAGATTCACATGAAACCGCGCAGTTTTACTCTCGTGCTTGCACACCCAGTGTGCGAGCGCGCGCGCGCGCACACACACACACACACACACACACTGACTTTGAAAACAGCGGGCCTTCGTTAATAAGCCAGAGATTCTGTGGTAGCATAGGATAATAATAAGCCAAATAATAACCAAAATCCTATGAACCATTTTGCCCGATTTACCCAAAGGCATTCCTCAGACATTCCTGACCTGAAGTGATCGTTTAAGATGACTTACTGAGAAATACCGTTTAGCGAGAACCCCTGCGAAACAGATGAATGGAGGTATATTCTCTTAAAAAAAAAAAAAGATAGAAAAAGGAAGCAAATTAGTTATGAACTGAAATGCAAGAAATAATTTGGGATTAGGAAAGAAATCATAGTTTTTTCATCCTTCATTTTTGAAAAATACCTCCCCTTTAAAGAAGATGCTCTATTTTCCCAGGAGATTTTTTTTTACATAAAATCTCGGTTCAGAGAGAAAGTGTCAAATGAAGAACTTGCCTGGATATTTTCATTGTAAAATTAAAACATGGCATTTTGATTCCATTCTTAGATCTGCTACCAGCGTGTGATGGAGAAAGGCCCACTTTGGCATTTCTGCAAGAGGTTATGGACATTTTGCTTCAGTATGTGGTGAAGAGTTTTGATAGATCAACCAAAGTGATTGATTTTCATTACCCTAATGAGCTTCTTCAAGAATATAATTGGGAACTGGCAGACCAACCACAAAATTTGGAGGAAATTTTGATGCATTGCCAAACAACTCTAAAATATGCAATTAAAACAGGTATTGTCCGATCAGAAATAATAAAGCTATTTTTTCATTTATGATTTTTATTTTTTCTATGAAAATGTTTTATTTTATGGAGTTATTGATAATTTCAAGTTTACAATGTTATTTTCATCATTAAAAAAGTCATAATTAGAATGATTAATGTCAAAAGCACCCTTTACTGTTATTGTTCATGGTTTGAAGTCGGAAATGTTACCGAAGTATAAATCATCAGATTTTACATTGCACTATTTGGCCATGGAAATTATCCACTGATGTAGAAGCAACCATTTGTCAGCAGAGGCCAGCAGAAGTGACTCTACTATAGAGAAAGAAAAAAAGAAAGAGAATCTAGAAATGAAAGCGTAAAAGGCATGATCCAAACAAAAGCCCAAATACGAGGTCAGTGCTGGAAAAAAATCATCCTGTGTAATGATTGAAGCAGAGAGGTAATATTTTGGCACTGTCTCAGAAGACTAAGACTTCAGATGTGAACTCTGGCTTTTCTCTATTTTTAAAGAAATGTACACAAAAGAAAACACAATACAAACTAGCTTAACAATTCAGCCATGTTATACAAGGATGTATGTGCTTCCTAACCACTCTGTATAGAAGATAAAGGGAAAAAAAAAAGATAGAGGGAAATCAGATATCCTTAGGGACAATATTTTTAGTGTATTTTGTGTTTATTTTTTTAAACAGTATTCTCCATTCTCCATCCATTTTTAGCCCCAGGTGTAACATATATGTGAGTGTATTCTAAGCTTTCATTCTAGCTACACAAAGTCAGCTATTCATCTCCCCAGGTCATGATTGCCCCTGCGTTTTCTGCTTTGCCTCTAATCATCCTGATACATGGTGGCCATAGACTTCATTAAAGCAATAAAAATAAGAGTGAATAAATTTGGAAGGGAGGGAAGACTTTGTGGATCCAAATTGATTTGTAGCCTTAGAAACATTTGCTAACAAATAAATATGTAAAATATCACAAAACATTAATTACTCTAGAAACATGATCCTTTTCTCAGCAAATTTAGAATTACATGAATTATGAGTATCATTCTAATCAAAAACAAATTTTAAGAATGTTTGTTGTGTGACTTTTAGCCCTTTGTTTTGCTATATTTTTGTTTTTGTGAATTCTTTTTACTGACAGGATAGATATGCATAGAAGCCTTGGAAAATTGATTTCCTATACTCTCATTGTCCACTTTTGTGAAACTATAGACTTAGAATTAAATATATAGGAGAAAGAATTTAACTTGGAGATTTCTATCAAACTCAGTCTATGGAGTATGATTTTTTTAAGGCATCTTAGATTTCATTCTCAGTTATATTGACAGAGGATCCACATGAGGTATATACTAGGCATTAAAGATGTTTTTTTCCTTCCAGATTTTTCTATATCTGTAGGTGCAAGCCTGAGCAATGCTTTTAATTCATTTTTGTCTGACCTACTCTCCAACCTAACATTTTAATACATTAACAGTAATTTGCTACCTATTATTTTTATTGCTACCAAGCCAAAAAGAATCTATAAAGGTGTTTTCATATCTTCATCCTTAAATGCTGATGGGGTCTGAAATGCAATTTAAAGAGTTAAGATAATGAGAACTGCAGGTCAATGAAAGCAATAGCTCTGTCAATGTTCCATTTAGTGTTGGGAAAAGATGGGCCAATTCAATACTTAGATTTTGCCATAGTGCTTGGGAAACTGTTGGTCAGTGTAGCTCTAATATGTTTTTTTAAAGATCAGAAAAAATATGATTAAGTTGGATTTCTGACCAAGGCATATCAATATTAATTCAGTACAACATTATTTATAACACAAATAGTCTTCTGGTCCTTCCTCCCATCCCCAATAACATTTCAAATAATTAACAGCTGGCACTTTCCTTTTTGAATGGCAAGTTTATAGGTTTCATGTATAACTTGTATTTGACAACTAGTACTGTTTAAGTTCTGTGAGGTAGTTGCTGTCACTGTTACCATTAGATGTGTTAATATTCCCTGGGATACTCCTTTATAAAAGTATGTTCCTACTGAGAGTCCATAACCTAATTTCCACTTGGACTCCAGGCTTAGGGAGAAGACGGGGGAGGTAGGGAAGTCTTTATTGATTGTTAAAATTACCTCTGTAAGAAATATTGGAATAGAACATGGGAAAGTGTGGAGAATGATAAAGTTCTGAAATAATTAGGCTTTGCTGGGGTCATCAGGTTTGGCGTTAGTGGTGGCGGCTGGGGAGTGGAGGGATTCATGAACCCAGCCATGAGACAAAGGGATTGAAGCATCAGTAAATGTGCCGTCCTTGGGTGTGTGTTGCTGGTCTAGAGAGAACAGTCTGGACTGACTTGGGGCCCCTTCCCAATGGACTGTGGACACCAGGGTCAGAGCTGCCTGGGGCTGGCTATTCACAGAGTCTGTTCACCCTTCTTGGCTCATTTGCTAATCTGTGGGGAGCGGTCCAGAAACACAAACAGCGCCTGGTTTCAAACTCACCGTCTCCAAGGCGGCAGCGCATGGCCATTCGCCTCCTTGGCAGGGCGCTGACTCGCAGTACAGGACCGGGTGGGGGCAGCAACAGCAGCTGGATGCCAGGGTGACTCAGGCGGCAGGCAGGCAGGCAGGTCTCAGGGAACCCTACCTGAATTTGCCAGCAGCCTACAGTTCATGGGAAGCCAGCAACCAAGGGGACATTCTGTTCTGATGTGTCAAACTATCTCCCTGCATATTTCCACATCATTATCAGCGAATGCAAAGCTTGAGGCTGGAGAGATTTTGGTGAAACAGACCAAGGTCAAAATTTGATACGAGAAGGAAGCCAAGCAATTGCAGCGTGGCACTTCTTACCATAGTTTCCCAGAGGGAGTCATCAGGGTGAATTGACCTTCTGATAACCTGGGGCACCACAGAGGTCTTGGGATCCCACTCAGTTTTATGCAGAGGTTTTCCTGACAAAGGGTGCATAGACTTGGTGTGAGGTGAAAGATACCAGATTCATCCAGAAAATGCATAGGATTTGAGAGAGTCGATTAATGGCTAGATGTGCTGATCCTTATTAGGTTCCTCATTTCAAAGAAATGGCTTAGGGAAAGAGGAATGGAGGGGCACCAAGAGGGAGATGAAAGCTATGATTTCAGCTGTGAGCGCTAATGAAATGGGGAGTCAATGAGGCAGAGAGGGGTGGAGGGCTGCTGCAGACAGCAGCGGCAGCCACAGCCAGGAAGGCTTTTTCCCTTTCCATGGACCTGTAGACTGATGGGAGCAGCGTCAGAGAGCCTGGGAAAGAGCAAAAAGCTCAAAGGGCACCCTGCAAGGCTATAGGGATGTAAAACAATGCCATACCGGAGAATAAGTGAGAGCTGCCCAGTCTCTTTAAAATGTGCTCTTTCCCAGCTCTTCTCAGCATCTACTCATCTAGCCACATGCTGGAGGCTGATAAGACAGCAGTCCCCGGGTCCCTGAGATAAGCTTTGTGTTGACTTTTGTCTCTGCTCTCCCCATTGCCTACCTTTATCTTGTTTTGCCCAGGCTGGCCTGAGAGCCTGTCACATCCCCAGGCATCAGACAGGTGTCCAGTAAGTGGCAGACACCTTTTAATAAGAAGCGGTTTCCAGAATTGTTAATCTTCCAGGCTTTTGGCTGCAAAACAACATCACAGATTTATAGATAGGCTTATGCGGAGCAGGACAGAGAAATGGAAGTCTAATGAGATCTTTACAATCACATTTTAAATAATAGCCTCAGGAGTGTTGGGGTGTCAACCCCTTTAGAGAGTTTTAGAGAAATCCAGAAGTTGATTAGATAAGCCTGATTGAGGGACTGATCAATCCGTTAACTATACCTTCATGTATCTTGTGGACAAGACAGGGATGTTGGCTGTATTTAGCTTTATTTTGAATTGCAACTACGAAGGAGCTCTGTTGTTTAGAATCAAATATTCAGGTAGAAAAAAATAGACAAGAATTACATTTGTCCACTCCAGTGTTCTTGCCTGGAGAATCCCAGGGACGAAGGAGCTTGGTAGGCTGCTGTCTATGGGGTCGCACAGAGTCGGACACGACTAAAGCAACTTAGCAGCAGCAGCATACCAGCTTTAGACAGTCATTGCCTTTTGAATCCAGGGTAAATCACTCAACATAGTGTCCTATTTTCTCATTTTTGCCTTGTCTTCTCTGATCATCAGCCATTTGTCACTGATATTACATGGATGTTGGCATGCCTGGCAGATGTCATGGTATATGACTGATTCCCAGCACAATTTAATGGAAAAGGGTTTTTTAGCAGCACAAGTGTAAACAAGAAGTGGCCTATTTTTTAGTAGCTTGGGATTGCCCCAGCATTTGAATCTGCAAATATACTGAAAGAATGCTAGAAAAGAAACTAGTGTCCACATTGCAAACCACATTTATTATCTTTTTATAGGGTATGGTTAAAGAAAGATTTTTAGCATGTGTTTTAAGAAATATCACAACACCAAGCAGTCTGTCTTGTTAAAGGAAATGCTCCTTTGCTGTGTGTGTGTGTGTGTGTGTGTGTGCGCGAGATGGGTTTCTGAGTATGGATTTCGTATTACTGAAGGCTCTTTCAAGATTCTTCATCTAGAGAAATCATATATTTCAGAGGCATTCATTTTCAATGGACTCATCCTGATTCTGGTGTTCCATCTAATTCAGGGCATCCAAGGTATTTCAATCAACTTTCTACTGGACTGGATATGGTTGGATTAGCAGCAGACTGGCTGACATCAACAGCAAACACTAACATGTAAGGAGCTAAATATGTTTTTGTGTAATCCAGGATAATTATTAATGACCTTTCATAATCTTTATTCTACCTCTTATGTAAAAAAAAAAGTCTTTTTTTTAAAGTGGCCCCTACAATAGTGACACAAACTTCAGAAGAGTATGGATATTCACTCTTCCTTAAAAGGAAATAGTCCTGACCTCTTTTTCATGCAATCAAAGTTATGCATCATGTTTTAAACACAAAAAGGACACTTTGGGGGCATACTGGATGTATTATTACATATAATATGAGAGAGAAATGGTACTAGATGTTGTCTTTTAGATAGTGTTATAATGTTACCCTGCAATGTATTTATTCACTATGATAAATGACCCTTGTGCATGAAACCTATTACTGAAACTCTTGACTTATGAATGTAGGAAACAGAGCAAACCCTTTTGTCCGCTTAACGCTGTAATTGTCACATTTGTGAAAGTAGGGTTTGAAGAAGGAAATTTTCCTGTAGATACTGTAATGATGAATCATTCCTTTGAGTGGCAGACATCAAAAGTGGCCATTACTATGTTTCAGGTTCACCTATGAAATTGCTCCAGTATTCGTGCTCTTGGAATATGTCACGCTAAAGAAAATGAGAGAAATCATTGGCTGGCCCGGGGGCTCTGGCGATGGGATATTTTCTCCTGGTATGTGATATTTTAATCTTTCTTCATATTTTTCTTCTGATTTGTCATGCCTTATTTTGAACATCAGTTCAGTTCAGTCACTCAGTCATGTCTGACTCTTTGCGACCCCATGGACTGCAGCAAGCCAGGCTTCCCTGTCCATCACTAACTCCCGGAGCTTGTTCAAAATCATTCATCATCAAAATCAATCATCAATGTCCATTGAGTCGGTGATGCCATCTAACCATCTCATCCTCTGTCAACCCCTTCTCCTGCCTTCAGTCTTTCCCAGCATCAGGGTCTTTTCCAATGAGTCGGCTCTAAGTATCAGATGACCAAAGTACTGGAGCTTCAGCTTTAGCATCAGTCCTTCCAATGAATATTCAGGATTGATTTCCTTTAGGATGGACTGCTTTGATCTCCTTGCAGCCCAAGGGACTCTGAAGAGTCTTCTCCAACACCAGAGCTCAAAAACATCCATTCATCGGTGCTCAGCTTTCACTTTATTATGAACATAGGAATGATTAAGTATCTAGCCTGTGTTTCTGCTTAGGTTAAATAAACCTGAGGTCCCCAACCTTTTGGCACCAGGGACCAGTTTTGTGGAGGACAATTTTTCCATGCACCCTTCATGGGGGATGGTTTGGGGATGATTCAAGCACATTACATTTATTGTGCACTTTATTTCTATTATTATTTTGTCAGCTCCACCTCAGATCATCAGGCATTAGATCCTGGAGATTGGGATTAAGTACATGTGACCACTGACCATGCATCCAAGTCAACTACTCCATGCTTGGATATTAATTTTTTTGTGTTTAGAGGATAATCAGCAACGATATTAACCCAGTACTTCTACTGCGATCCTATATACAGGATGCATGGATTGTGTGGAACAAAGGAATAAAGATTCCTAATAAGCAAACTAGGGAATAAAGGATTGTACTTTCCCAAGTGTCAGTGAAAGGAGAAGGGTGCCTCACTGAATAAAGCATTCTCTGATTGAGGGCAAATAACAGGTACAGTTTACTTAACAGAGCCTTTGTACACCGTCCCTTTCAAGGAACAAGCAGGGAAGCTGATCCACACAATTTTCAAGTAGGACAGAAAGTGCCTGGAAGACAGTTTCTTAGCACTAAAAGAAAAGGGTGATGATTTCTTTCAGAGGTTTCCCATTTTTTTTTTCTTTATGAGGTCATTTAGTCCTTCCCACTCGGCCTTTTATCACCAGCCGTTGCATTCTAAGCTCTATTATGTATACTTCTTCCAGCCACGAAAGTCAGCCTGGGACAGAAAGTCCTGCTTTGGGTTCCCAGATCTGTGTGTGTGACTTTGGTTTGATGCAGAGAAGAACTAAAAGCTAGGAAGGCAGTGGGAATTGAGAGAGCCACTGACCTGTGAGAAAGAAACCTGGCGCACAGACGGTCACCTCCTCAGCAGCAGGAGAGGGGAGTCATGGGCATCGCTGGCCCTGGAGCTTGGTACCCAGAGACTGGCCCCGCTGGGGAGGCCAGAGCCACACCAGCCATCGTGTCAGGCAGAGCAAAGGTGAAGTCGTGATTCCTCTTTAGCAAATCTGCAAAGGCAGGGGGATACCAAAGGAGAGAGAAAATGAAATGAAAAGACAGAAAAGACATGATGAGGAGTAACAGTGGCCTCAAGGCCAAGTCTTAAATTCAGCAACTTTATCTACAAGCTCAGATCAGCTCTTTCATTTTTTGTTTTAAAAGAGATAGCATATGTTTTCAGGTGCTAAAGGAAAATGTGTTAGTTAAATGAAAGGGAAAATTTGCCTTAAAAAAAATCATTGTACACCAGCTGTGATGCGAATTTTAGGCTAGTTTCATTTTGAAGGGAACTGAGCATTTAGTGTTCCCTTGGAAAACTATCCCTGACTGAGGTAAGTTTGTTATCATTAACTGGAACTGATGTTTTAAGGTGTTTTTCATGAGGAACTAGGTAAAGTTCAGAGATGAACGTTGTTTTACCTTTATTCTGCCTCCTCTTATAAGAGTGGCTGGGGGACTGAGCGGTCCCCAGGGAGCTGGGAGCTCCTTGGGCTCTCTGTTCCTGGTTCCCAGTAGTGGGAAGAGAACAGCTGCTCCCGTAGACCTGGAAAAGTTGACTAAGTGGAGTTGAACCAGGCCTAACCTACCTGGCTGGTCTTGGAACACACCTGTCCCAGAAAATATACACCCAGAGAAAGACTCCTCTTTGGCAGTTGTGCTAAGCCAGGTATGGACTAAGGGCTGCCACCCCCATCAATGATGGGAATGATCAGGTAGAGAAGATTTAAGCTCAATCCTGAGGCTCCTTCCTTGGATCCTGAAGATCCATGTGCTCTGAGTTCCCAAGATGGAAGCTATAGATGCCAGACTACAGTGTAAGGTGTACAGTGTACAGTGTAAGGGATTCTCCAGGCAAGAATACTGGAGCGGGTTGCCATTTCCTTCTCCAGGGGATCTTCCTGACCCAGGGATTGAACCTCAGTCTCCCACATTGCAGGCAGATGCTTTAACCTCTGAGCCACCTGGGAAGCTACAGTGTAAGGTAGATGTTGCAAAATCAGGAGGCGACTGAAGAAAAGGTCATTAGCAACCTGTTTCTGCTCTGCTTTCTACAATGCATTACAGAGAGGAAATGGATCATAGCTTTCTCAGTTGCTAACAGATGCCTTTCTGGGTAGCATCCAGCCTTGTTTCTGGGAGAAAGGGTCTATGATTTAAGCGGTGAACACAGGGAAAATCATACATCTATGTGCCTGAGATCTGACAGTCCCATTGCCTGGGACTAGACATGGAGAGTTAGGTCCATGGCTTGAATACTCAGCTCAGCCAAGTTTCTCTATACTTTCATCTATAACATCCAGTGGCGTCATGCTTCATGGAAAGTTCTTTGAGACGGACCAAAAAAAAAAAAAGTGCAGCCTAATGGTTGAGAGTCATGTTTTATTCGGTGGAAATTTTTAGGACTTAAGCCTAGGAGGCAGCATCTCAAGTAACCCTCCTCTGAGGAGTTGAGGGGAGGAGCCAGGATATACACAAGTTTTGCAATGAAGAGCTGGTAGTCTGAATGTCCAAAGATTATTGTTAATTAAAGGAAGCCAGCTATTCCAAATTAAGGAATTTAGTGCTTTTCTATGAATGGGAAGATACAAGAGTTTGGACTCACTGAAATCATTCCTTTCATATGCATCTCAGCCATCTGGAGCCAGTATCCTGGGTTTTCACATCCTGACCTTCCTTGGGGCAGATCACAGATCACAGACCACAGGTATTCTTCTCCTTCCTGAGTGCCCTTGGGGCTCACTGGCTCATATTGGAGGGCTGTAGTCCGCTGATGATTGTGATATCCTTGTTTATGAACATGGCAGGAAAGACTCCATTTCTCAGAGACTTCTAGAAGAAATCTGTTTATGGGATGTCACCTTCACCTGGGAGTCAGAGGGAACTGGAGAACGCCACTGCTCAGCACGTCCTGAAGGGCCGAGGGAGAGAAGGGAAAGCTTGGAGTCACAAACCTGTTCCTGTCTAACAGGATTCTCAGAATGTTTGGGACTTGTTTTTGCATCCTTTCTTGGAAGACTTCTGGGAAATAAGAGCATGTAGGGCTTATGCATCTGTCCTCTTGCCTGTGTTACACAGTGCAGTCTGCTCTGTCCAGAGACCCAGAAGCCTCGTTATCCCTCTTGGAGCTGCCAAACCTTTAAACGGAGAATGACTGAGCTGTGAGAAGAAGAGTGGGAGGCTGCTCTCTGGATCATTGTCCTGGGAGGTGTACTTTTGTTGTGTCCATCTTTCCTTTTTCTTCCTCCCTCCTTTCTCCCCAGCCTCTCTGAAAATAATGAGGGCAGCAGTTCTCAATGTGGAGTTATTTTGTCCCCAGGGGACATTTGGCAATGTCTGGAGGTATTTTTGGTTGTCACAGTTTATTTGGGAGTGGGGAGCATGTAGTGCTCATGACATCTGGTAGGTAGAGAGTAGGGATGCCCAGTAAAGTCCCATCACATGGAACTGTCCAGCCTAAAAGCTGGTCCCATGCCCGGCAGCATCCTATCCAGTCAGCCTTTTAGACAAGGTGTCAGCTCAGAGCCGGCCTGACCTGGATTCTATTTATCCCATGTCTCTAAGGTCCAGAAGCAGTAGGAATTGCCCTAGTTCTGACTGATGATAGAACCAGGCTCTGGGTGACGCCTGCTCTGTGCCAGGTTGCCTGCTTGTGTCAGACCCCAGGGCTCACTAGGCAGAGATCATCACCCTACCTGGGCCATCCAGCTTGGTACAGAGAACCCTCCTGCTCCACAGCCACCAGAAGGGAAAGGAACTGAGAGAACTCACATGGTAGCAGAGCCCGGGCATGTCACCCTTTGGGTTGGGGAGGGAGGTCATTGTGTTTTCACTCCTCATCATGTTCTCACAGCTCCCACAGCAGCATATTCATTTGCTTTCACAACTTTCTCTCTTCTATCTGGTAAACAAAAATCTTCAACTATCCAACAATCCTGAGGAGAAGCTCACTTTTCTTTGCTTGTCAAATGAAACTCTACTTATAAGACACAAATTCTATGGTATGAAATCCTTGACAGTCTTAGGATGGCACATGAAAAGTAGTTCAACATGGATTTAACATTCCCCTTGTGTGTCTTCCTAATTATGAAATTGTAACCATTAAAATTATATTGCAATGATGTCATTAAGAGGGAGAGCCATCTGAGGGGAATTAACAGATGAGTATGATGAGATGGGCTTGGATGTTTATCATTCTATAAGGATTGTTAACAGTCCACGATATTAATAGCAACTGATCTTTTTCAGCTCAGATAGAAGGGGCTGCATGAGCTGAAATGAAATGTCCTCTCCATGAGGACATATGTAGGATTTTCACAGATCTAATGCAGAATGACCTACTCTCAAACCGAGAAGGAAGTCAACTTTTTAAGTTCTTAGAAGCCTTTTCAAACGGCCCCTAGTAAGAGCAGAGTCCACTGCAGTGTGCGCCCGGCCCCGCCCTGCCCCGCCACCCCCAAGCCCCCAGAGACGGACGTGGGCGTGGAGGGCTGGAATCCATCCTAGCGTTGGGCCGAATACTCCTTTGGACCCTCTCGGCTATTGCCTTTGAGTCTGAGGATTCAATTCAAAGCACAACCAGGAAGACGGTTTTCTCCTGTGTCTAAGGAGGACTCTAGGTCAGTGGAATTAATGTTGCTTGCTTGTGACATAATGTTAACAATGACTAGAAAAGGTAACTGTTGTTGCTCTGCCCTCTAGGTGGCGCTATATCCAACATGTACGCCATGCTGATTGCGCGCTTTAAGATGTTCCCGGAAGTCAAGGAGAAAGGGATGGCTGCCGTCCCCAGGCTCATTGCCTTCACGTCTGAGCATGTAGGTGTTCAACGTCCTTTCTAAGTTTAAGGTTATATTCCGTAAAACCTGGGTTGAAGGAGTGGTATTTGGAAATACTTTACCCCACGTTTTCTCTTTCCAGAAGGTGCTTCTTGGGAGAGGATGAGGGGGAGAGATCAAGTGGGTGGTGCAGTGCAGGGAGCTCCTTTCTCTTTGAAATTCAGGAAGATGCTCAGTGAAAGCAGCTTGCTTTCAACCCTCAGTCCTATACTCGCTACTTTGTAATAAGGTTATGTGTTGGGGGAACAGGAGGAGGAGAGAGGGCAGAGTAACTGTGAACATCAGTGCTGTGCAGTACCGAACTCAAAGCTGTGAAGTATCCCGTTGATACAGGCTTCCTGTTAGAAAATTCTGATCAGATATTCTGCCCTCTTGCTTCCTTGGAAGCCAGTGAATACAATTCACAACCACTCCACTAAAAATGGAATTCAAGGAAGCTAATGATTTATTTTAACACATTATCCTTAGTATCTCACTTTGAGTCATGTTTTAACATGTTGTTGAATGCCCTTCCTCGATTTATAGGCATCAAACTTAGCAGAGAAGAGGACAGCCTGAAACCACCTGATGTTTTCTTATTGCTGCTGGAACAAGTTACCACAAATTTTGTGGCTTAAAACCACATGAATTCAGTATCTTACAGTTCTGGAGGCCAGAAATCTGTAGTGGGTCAGGTAGGGCTGTGTTCCTTCTGAAGACTGTAGGAGAGAATCCATTTCCTTGTCTTTACAATTTCTAGAGGCTGCCTGCCTGCCTTGGGTCATGGCCACTTCTTCCATCTTCAAAAGCGGCAACAGCAGATCTTCAAATTCCTGCCCCCAACCCCAGCCTTTGCTTCTATCACCCCATCTCCTTCTCTTGACTGACTCTCCTGCTTCCCTCTTTCTCTTGTGATTATACTTTAATAACACAGGATAATCTTTCATCTCAAGATCCTTCATTTAATCAGGTTTTCAAAGTCCCCGTTGCCATGTAAGGTAACAAATTCACAGATGTAAGGGATTAGGATATGGTCGTCTTTGTGGAGGAGCCCAGTACTCAGTCCACAAAGCCTGGTTCCCCACCATGACATAACTCTCATTTCTCAGCTTCCCCAAAGGTAGAAAACCAGAATGCAATTTGTCTTCCAGTGACTATTTCCCTAAAGTGAATTTGGATCCCTCAATAGTTACACGTTACTGTATTCTTGGGCTTGAAACACCAGGCAGTCTTACATTGGTGTCTTACTCTTTGGGTTTCCTTGCTGTTTCCACATCTGAAATGAGGTTGACCTGTCAGCACGTTCCTTGTGCTCTCTGGTTTCTGCACAAGTTTCTTGCACTCAGGTTAGTTGTGAGTTCATTTAATGCCGTTGCTCAGAAAGTTAGTCATGTGATCTGAGGATAATTTAATATACCTTAGTTCCTTGGTATTGCCAGCTTGGGGTCTCTCTCTTCTCCATTTTCCAAGGAAAGAAAGGTGATTTAGAAAGAAATGATTCTACAACAACCATTCAATTCTCCGCCTCCTTCTGGTATTTTTATCTGTGCCCATAATTATGGAGCAAGATTTGAAAATTATGAAGCTAAAATACCAATTGTCTCTAAATCAGTAATTATTTTGACAGATAAGCTATTCTTCTAATGTGCAAGACCTTACATCTGATTGTTATTGACCGTTTACAACTTTCAATAGACACATGTTCATTTAATTAAAGAGCAACCTTGTGGGACAGGCAGAACAGAGGTTGTTCTTAGCATTTTTTTTTTTTTAAATGAAGAGGGTGTAGTTAGCTAGAGAGATAGAGCCAGGATTAAATAAATTTCCTGACTCCCAGAACAGTGAGGGCCCTACCCCAGCAACCAGTGTAGGAACTAGTTTAAAAAATACAATGACAGAGTTTTCTAAACCACAGCTCATCGACTGCTTTAACATTTTATACCTTCCCAAGTCAGATTTCCACCAAGAGCTTTTTTTCCTAACATGAGGTGATGCTAAACTGTTTCTTCTCCATCCCTCCCCAGCCTAAAATATCTTTCATGATACCCATAGGTTGGGCTGGAAGGGAGTTTTAGAGCTTTATTTAAAGAACTCCAGTGTCTCCTGGAGCACTTGATCCAAGCTGTTCTGGACATTTGTTGTTGTTCAGTTGCTAAGTTGTGTCTGACTCTTTGTGACCCCATGAACTGCAGCATGCCAGGCTTCCCTGTCCTTCACTATCTCCCAGAGTTTGTTCAAATTCATACTCAGATGGTAAAGAGTCTGCCTGCAAGGCAGGAGACCTGGGTTCGATCCCTCAGTTGGGAAGATCCCCTGAAGAAAGGAATGGTTACCCACTCCATTATTCTTGCCTGGAGAATTCCATGGATAGAGGAGCCTGGCAAGAGTCGGACCCAACTGAGAGAATAACAGTTTGGCATTCTGGACATATGAGCCCTTAAAAGTAAGTCCTGCCCTTGAAGCTTCAAGTTAAGTGTTAGCATAACCTCCATGTCTAGCTGCCTCTGGGCTCCAGGCCTCCGGGCCATTCCATCCCATTCATCCTTTTGTACTGCTCCTTCCAACTTCGGGCCATGCTGGATCTTTCCTTAGTCTTAGTGAATTTTGCAATCACTGTCTCCACCAGCCCCAGAAATAGACCTTCACAGGCTGAAGAAAGAAAATTACCAAATCAGGTCTCAGCATATCCATTCCACAAGCTAGTTTCCAACTCTGCATGGAGCTTTCTTTCCTGAATCCCTTGACCTTCAGAGAGACAGGAGTGGGGTGGGGTGGGGTGCTGTGTGGGTCAGGTGGGGAGAGGAGTGGCCAGTGGCTGAGGCGTGAACTGCCTCCATTATTGTCTCTTGTTATGCTGCTAGAGAATTCCCAAGTCGCAGGACTTTGGGAGAATGGAATGAAAGCCTTAAAAAACACTTTCATCAATGCCTGGGATGTAGGGAGCTCTACATAAATATTAGGTAACTTGAAAAACACCACCACCTCCTTGTTTTATGGATGAAGAAGTCAAGCCCCAGAGATGGAAGATATTTTGCCCAAGCTTTCACACCCAGGCAATGGCAGCATCTGCTCTGGAGCCTCAGTTTTCTAACAATTCCAGCACTGTGCTTTCAGCTCCTAGGCTGGCTGACCAGAGAGCCACACTAGCTGACTGTTCTACATTCATTGGAAGCAGCTTTCCTCAAATCCTATTTTCTTCATATTGATTATTCTGACATTAATATAATTTTCTGATCTATCGAACTGAGCTGGTTACTGTCCTTTCTTCTATTATGAGCAGGGAGTTGATAACTGGACAAGGTTAGTGCCATACAGATGAAAATGGTGTTGAGAAACTGCCATCCTCCAGCATCCAGCGAGAAACTTCACACGTTCAGAAGGCAGAGGGTCATCTGTTGTTTTCTAGCAAAAACAACTCATCTAGCAAAAAACTACTCATCACTTCTCTGGCCACAAAAGCAGACTAGAACTTTCCCTAACTGATGAGGAGGGCAAGCTGGTTTTGTTTGTTCAAAACAAACTGGGTGCTTGAAATTCGCCTAAGATTAAAGCAGACAAAGAGTATGGCGATGAAGAACAGAAGACTATAAATCACTAAGTTGAAATGAGATAGTGTTAAGTTAGGGGTTAGGAGTGCCAAGATTATTTTCCTCTGAAATATAGAATCACAAAATTGGAAATGATCTTAAAGATCATGTGGTTCAGTATTCATCCTGTGCTGGAATCTCATCAAACTCAGTGACAGAAGAGCCCAGAAAAAATTAATCTGATGAATTTTAGGTCCTTTCTTGAAAGCAGGTTTAGAGGGAAGCTAAGATCACAGCCTGGTAATTCCTCTCTCTCTCTAAATCTTTTGAAAGCCCCAACCACGAGCTTAATTCCAAATTCCTCTTATTTCCTCATGTGACACAAGCTCTTCCAGAAATAGCTTCAATGAAGCAGCATAATCACATCTAGGAAAAATGTTCCTTATAATCACAGCAGACACTGGGATCTTTCAGATAAATCACCATAACTCACTCACTCCACTTGTCACATGCCAGGTCTAGGGTGGGTCTGCGTCTCCTGGAATCATCACCGGTGTTCTGCTGAGACCCCTCATGACCTCAGCCCACTTCCATGATTCTCCTAATTGCTTTAGAAAGATGATTTTCAGATAGCAATACCTTTTTAGAGGGTTTCAATGACAATCAGGTGAGTTCCGTTCATTTCAGTCGCTCAGTCGTGTCCAACTCTTTGTGACCTCATGAACTGCATGCAGCATGCCAGGCCTCCCTGTCCATTACCGACTCCCAGAGCCTACCCAAACTCATGTCCATTGAGTCGGTGATGCCATCCAACCATCTCATCCTCTGTCGTCCCCTTCTCTTCCTGCCCTCAATCTTTCCCAGTATCAGGGTCTTTTCCAATGAGTCAGCTCTTCGTATCAGGTGGCCAAAGTATTGGAGTTTCAGCTTCAACATCAGTCCTTCCAATGAACACCCAGGACTGATCTCCTTTAGGATGGACTGGTTGGATCTCCTTGCAGTCCAAGGGACTCTCAAGAGTCTTCTCCAGCACACAGTTCAAAAGCATCAATTCTTTGGTGCTCAGCTTTCTTTATAGTCCAACTCTCACATCCATACATGACTACTGGAAAAACCATAGCTTTGACTAGACAGACCTTTGTTGACAAAGTAATGTCTCTGCTTTTTAATATGCTATCTAGGTTGGTCATAACTTTCCTTCCAAGGAGTAAGCATCTTTTAATTTCATGGCTGCAGTTACCATCTGCAGTGATTTTGGAGCCCAAAAAAGAAAGTCTGACACTGTTTCCACTGTTTCCCATCTATTTGCCATGAAGTGATGGGACTGGATGCCATGATCTTAGTTTTCTAAATGTTGATCTTTAAGCCAACTCTTTCACTCTCCTCTTTCACTTTCGTCAAGAGGCTTTTTAGTTCCTCTTCACTTTCTGCCATAAGGGTGGTGTCCTTTGCATATCTGAGGTTATTGATATT